TGGGGGAGGCCGCTGAGTCGGGGCGTCTCTCTTGGGAGAATATGGGAGGTAACTACCCTTGAGTGGGTATGGCTTATTACTCCTTTTCAAAGGCATCTATTGGCATCGACAAGAAGTTGATTATATCGAACATGTCTAGTCCAGTGGAAGGACAGCAGCAGCAGCCTCCTAAGGAGGAGCTCACCGAGAAGGAGCTTGCCAAGCTAGAGAAGAAGAGAGCCAAGGAAGAGGCTAAGCGACAAAAGGTAGGAGACGATGTGGTCGTGTTATGGTATGGTTATTGCCTATATCAGGAGGAGGCCAAGGCCGCCCGTCTAGCTGAGGAGAAGCGCCGTTTGGAAGGTCCTGATGTACCCTACTCAGAGTTGGTCACTGGTGACCAGAAATTCGGCCATACTTTTATCCAATCTCAAGTGAAGTCCCTCGGGCGTAAGTTCACTAAGGTAACGCATTTGGATGCCACCATGAAGGACCAGAAGGTAAGCTCTCTTATCGTCAAAACTATCAACCACTCATGGTGCTATTATCAGGTCTGGATTAGAGCTAGGTGTCAGAACACTCGTAAACAGGGTGGAAAGTTATCCTTTGTGACCTTGAGACAGGGTCTTGGTACGGTACAAGTGGTTGTATTTGGTGGTGACATCGCCAAGTTCGCCGGTAACCTTTCCAAGGAGTCGGTGGTTGACCTCTATGGCACTGTTACTGTCCCTGAGGAGCCGATCCGATCTACTACACAGTCTGAGGTGGAACTCCAGGCTGAGCGCATTTTCTGCATCAGTCGGGCCCAGGCCTTACCTTTGCAGTTTGAGGATCTAGAGAGGTAGGCTGCTACTACTGTGTTGCTATTGTTGTTGATGTTGGTGATAGGACTGAGGCTGATGTCGAGGCTGGTGAGGGCGCCCGTGTGTCCTTGGATACACGTTTGGATAACCGTGTTATCGATTTGAGGACTAAGGCGAATCAGGCCATTCTCAGGGTGCAGTCCGGCGTTTCTATGTTATTCAGGTGAGCTCGTATGAGGGTATTTTACTTGCCATATTATCGTCTCAGGGAGTTCCTTATCCAAAAAGGTCTTGTCGAGATTCACACTCCTAAGCTACTGGGTGCTGCCTCAGAGGGCGGTGCTGATGTCTTCAAGGTCCAGTACTTTGAGCGTAACGCTTATCTGGCTCAGTCGCCTCAGCTGTATAAGCAGATGGCTTTGATGACGGATCTACCTGGTGTTTTCGAGATTGGTCCTGTTTTCCGTGCTGAGAAATCCCTCACTTTCCGACACATGACGGAGTTCGTCGGCCTTGATATGGAGATGCGATTTGCCGATAACTACCACGAGGTGCTGGATGTTATTGACGGCACCTTCGACCATATCTTCCATGGTCTCAACGAGAGGTTCTCCTCGGAGTTGGAGGCTATCAGAGCTCAGTACCCCTTTGAGGACCTTATCTGGACTAAG